ATTGTTGATAGTGCTGCTATAAACATTGGGGTGCATGTGCCCATTTGAAACAGCACACCTGTATCCTTTGGATAAATACCTAGCAGTGCAATTGCTGGGACATAGGGTAGTTCTATTTTTAGTTTTTTGAGGACCCTCCATCCTGTTTTCCAGAGTGGCTGCACCAGCTTGCATTGCCACCAACAACGCAAAAGAGATCCTCTTTCTCCGCATCCTTGCCAACATCTGTTGTTGCCTGAGTTCTTAATGTTAGCCATTCTGACAGGTGTGAGGTGGTATCTCATTGTGGTTTTGATTTGTATTTCCCTGATGATGAGTGATGTTGAGCATTTTTTCATGTGTCAGTTGGCCATCTGGATGTCTTCTTTGGAGAAGTGTCCATATCGTGTCTTTTGCCCATTTCTTCACTGGATTATTTGACTTTTGGGTGTTGAGTTTGGTAAATTCTCTATAGATTTTGGATACTAAGCCTTTATCTGATATGTCGTTTGCAAATATCTTCTCCCATCCTGTTGATTGCCTTTTAGTTTTGCTGATTGTTTCCTTTGCTGTGCAGAAAGAAGCTTTTTATTTTGATGAGGTCCCAATAGTTCATTTTTGCTTTTGTTTCCCTTGCCTCCAGAGACGGGTTGAGTAAGAAGTTGCTGTGGCTGAGGTCAAAGAGGTTTTTTGCTTGCTTTCTTCTCTAGGATTTCGATGACTTCGTGTCTTACATTTAGGTCTTTCATCCATTTTGAGTTTATTTTTGTGTATGATGTAAGAAAAGTGGTCCAGGTTCATTTTTCTGCATGTGGCTGTCCAGTTTTCCCAGCACCACTTGCTGAAGAGATTGTCTTTATTCCATTGGTTATTCTTTCCTGTTTTGTCAAAGATTAGTCGGCCATACGTTTGTGGGTCCATTTCTGGGTTCTCTGTTCCATTGATCTGAGTGTCTGTTCTTGTGCCAGTACCATACTGTCTTGACGATTACAGCTTTGTAGTATAGCTTGAAGTCCAGGATTGTGATGCCTCCAGCTTTGGTTTTCTTTTTCAACATTAACTTTGGCTATTCAGGATCTTTTGTGGTTCCATATAAATTTAGAATTATTTGTTCTAGCTTTGTGAAGAATGCTGGTGTTATTTTGATGGGGATTGCTAACCACGTGTATTTTTTAAATATACTTTATTTTTTAGACCAGTTTTAGGTTTACCGAAAAGTTGTGAAAATGATGGGGAGAGTTCCCATACCCTGTCCCCGGCTTCCCTTATGGTTACTTTCTTACTATGGCACGTTTGTTATAGTTGTCGGATACTGAGCTGCTGCTGTGAACTGAAGCCCTTCCTTTGTTCAGATTCCCTAAGCTTCCCCCTGTTTCCAGGGCCGCCTCCAGGATGCCGCGTGGCATGTGGCTGTCCTGTCTGCTTAGGCTCCTCTTGCCTCCAAGAGTTTCTGCCCTTACTTTTTATTGTTAATAGCATCCTCATCAGGACATTATGCCTCCTCATCCATCTGTAAGGCAGCAGTGTCTGCAGCCTGTGGCTCAGGGGCACCGAGTCTGTGACGTGACTGGTGTTGGAGCTCTGGCCTCTGCCGTGAGTCCTTCCATCCTGGCACCCGGAGGCCTCGAGCAGCGTGATGTCTGCGTGTGGAGGGCTTCTTGTCACGGTCCTCCCTGGCAGGCTGCTGGACTGGGTCTCGGCCATGCGGCGGTCCAGAGTCACGCTTCTGCTTTCCAAAGCTCTTTTGAAGTGGGCCGTGTCACTGTCTCTCTGTGTAGGGATTGTTATAACTGAGCTTCCAAATATGTTGTGTTGAATGTACAGACAGCCCTTTCATGCGCTGGTAAGTTCTGCATTCAGACAGGGAACTGACTGTGCTTTCGAATTACTTCAGATAATTGTTTCCAAAGAATATGCAAAATGTATGTATGCGCATTTTCCAATTCTGGTCATAATTAGTATATTTTAAGGGATCCTTTGACATCTCTTTGCTCATTTCTAAAGAGAACTCTGAAAGATCCTGTGTTGATAGTGAAGAATACCAAAAAGAGAAGTCCCCCGAAGATGGTGGTTCCGGTTGACGTTGACGGGCAGAGGCAGTGGTGAACCTTACCCCGCAGCAGCACGCTCACGGTGCTGCCTGAAGCCCTGCCGGGGGGGCTCCTGCGAGCCGAACAGTCCGTGGGGGGTCGTGGGCACAGTCCGCACCCTCAGACCGGGCCGACTCCTGCTCCCACGCCCGCCAACCTTGTCCTCTGGGCCTCGTGACTGCCCCGCGGGCCTCATTTCCTTACCTGCGGCAGGGGCTGTGGTCGGGCTCACACCCGAGGTGCAGCAAGGGCTCAGGACAGTGGCTCGTGGAGAGCTGGGAGAGCTGGGTGTTCAGCCTGTGCTGATGACAACAGAACAGACTGCTTTCAGTTAGTTTTTATTGTCAAGGTTAAATTCCCCGTAGATGCTGCTTGTGGCCTGTGTGGGGTGGGGCATTGCACCCCCACCCTGGTGCCAGGGGAACCCCTCCCTCTGTTTCTGTGCGTCAGCGTCCTCCTTACTGAGACCATCTCATACTTACCATGCTGCATTTATAGCTGCTTTCAATGTTTTTTCAACTTGCAGGGACATTGGACAGATAGCACAGAGAACATAACTCTCCTTGAACTGCTGACTTTAGCGTCCTTTTCCCACCAAGGAGGGACGCTGTTCTGTGCACCCACATATCACTGTCAGAATCAGGAGGCTAGCACTGCGACGTGCCTACCTTGTAACCCTCAGCCCCCGGCATGTCCTTACGGCTGAAGGACCCGGTGCACAATCACCGGTGGCATCAAGTGGTCGCATTTCCAAGGTCCTTGTGTTGGTAGCACCTCCTTGGTTGTGCCTAAACTTTTCTGACCTTTGGAGGATTTCAGGCCCATTATTTTGGAGAATGCTCCTCCCTTTGGGTTTGCCTGATGCTTCCTCATGATTAGACTCCAGTTATAGGTCTTCGGCTGGGTGTGTGCTAGACACGCTGCCGTGTCCTTGTGCTGTCCCATTGGGCGACACCCAGTTTTCATTTGTCCCACTACCTGTGGTTCTCGTGTTAACTTCTGGGTTGAAGTGGTGTCTGCCAGGCTTCTCCACTGTGGGATGAGTCTCTCCCCCTCGGTAATTAACAAGCACTTAGTGGGGAGCTCCTTTGAAATTGTATAAATATCCTGTTCCTCGTCTAGTTTTATTTATTTACTTATGTCCGTATGGACTCGTGCTTTCCTTTGCATTGGTGGCTTATACTCTGTTAGTCTCACTGTTTACTCTCAGATCGTCCCTGATTTGGCCAGTGGGAGCCCCCTCAAGCTAACCTCTGTGGCCTGACCTACCCACATTGTTCTCAAGCATCTCCTTCCTTCTGGATACAGTAAGATATTTCAGGCTCATCTTGTGCTTTGTCCCATCCCAACCTCGAGTCAGCCATATCTCCAAGAGCCCTGGTTCCTTGTAGAGGAGAATGGCCATTCCAGGTAGAAATCTGGGTACTAGGAATGCTTAACTGCTGTTGGGCCGTGGCTACTCTTGGGCCTTCTCATTGGAGGAGGGAAAGAGGAGTGTCTGTGTGTGTGTGTGTGTGTGTGTGTGTGTGTGTGTGTACAAACGCAAACATTCCCACATGTGTCTGTAGAACCATGTATCACACGCATCCGTCTAATTCCAGCCTGGTACTATAGGGCTAGCTCAGCTTTTCTCCTTTTCCACATCTGTAACTCCCTTTTCTGAACTAAGGACACTGCCCCTCCTTATCCTTAATGTGTTGTTTCAGTAGATGGATGTCCCCCCAGTGGGAGGCTGCCCATGCAGGGGCGCCCTCATCCTTCCCAGGCACAGGCTTTCTGCAGGGACACTGCCCCACACTCTGTCCACTGATGAGACGCTGCCCCTGCTCAGCTGCAGGACTGACATGTTCGAGAAGGACAGAGGACACAGCCTGTTTCTAAAAGGGACCTCAGCCTGCTCTACGGGCCTTCCCTCTGTTCTTGCACGTTGCTGAAGCCCTCCCACTCTTGGCTGCCCCCGGCCCCTGCCGGCCTGCCTTCTCTCCAGCATTTCCATGAGCAGGGGCGGCTCTCTGGTACACCTCTTTATTTGGGGAACCCATTTGCAGCCTTTCATTTATCATGGATCAAAATGGAGTAATTCTCAGGGTATTTTAGATACCTATTTACACATAACTTTAAGCTCTCTAAAACTCTAGCTAGTTTGTATAAGCCATTATGGTTATTTCCTTTTTCTCAAAAAAGTATGTGTTCTTGGGGCGCCTGGGTGGCGCAGTCGGTTAAGCGTCCGACTTCAGCCAGGTCGCGATCTCGCGGTCCGTGAGTTCGAGCCCCGCGTCAGGCTCTGGGCTGATGGCTCAGAGCCTGGAGCCTGCTTCCGATTCTGTGTCTCCCTCTCTCTCTGCCCCTCCCCCATTCATGCTCTGTCTCTCTCTGTCCCAAAAATAAATAAACGTTGAAAAAAAAAAAAAAAATTTAAAAAAGTATGTGTTCTTAAGTAGAAGAGAGAGAAGCACAGAATTACCGGTAAGTAGAAACATGTTAAAGAAGACAGCAACTTGTACTTGGAACCCAGTCTTGCCACTTGCACTTGGGGAATTATAAAACCATATGTCATACTGAAAGACAAAACTGGAACTCTGCACTCCGTCATAAGACTGGAAGGGAAAGTGAAGTGGGCATTTGTGCTGTGTGCTATCTTCTGGATGTGCAGCAGCACAAAGCCGAAAGCCCTCTGTGAGTCATGGGACAGCCACAGCTGCCTCCGCTTCAGAGGGAAGGCTCAGAGTTTAACAATCTAGAACAGTAATGGAAAAGGCTGCTGATAGAGGTATACTGAACTCCTTAACTCATCTCTTCCCTTCATATTTTTTCTGTTTCATTTGCAGCAATGATCTGGAGTGTTCCAAAGTGACTCAGTTGCCATGTGTGATGGCCAGCTGGGTTTTTTTCTAATTCACCTTCTATTTCTCTGGATTTTCTCTTGTGCAGAACACATATACCAACGCGGATAAATTACTGGAAGCAGCAGAACAGCTGGCGCAGACCGGGGAATGTGACCCAGAAGAGATTTATCAGGCTGCCCATCAGCTTGAAGACCGGATACAAGATTTTGTTCGGCGTGTCGAGCAGCGGAAGATCCTGCTGGACATGTCGGTCTCGTTTCACAGCCATGTCAAGGAGGTAAGGCATTGGGACGCACGATGGAGCCTGGCTCTGAAAGGCCCTTGGAACCCCTTGGGAAGAGTGTGGACTGGTTGTGATGTGAGAAAGTGGACCGGAGGTGGTGAGCCATGAGACAAAGGCTTTCGACCTGAGCGGGTCGGCATGCATGGGGGACTGTGCTCTAGGCTGCTGGCTCCTTGCTTGTCTTCACCTGCGTGGAAGCCTGCGTGTCTATCAGGAGTGGACCCGTGAGGCCTGGGCTGGCCAGGGAAGGGTGTGGAGTAGGAGGTGAGCAGGGAAGCCTGGAGCTGGTAGAGGGGTCTTTAACTTAGAGAGAGGATGGAGCATGTCCATCTTAGCTGTGACTGTGGTCACAGCTTGGTTTCCTTTCCGTGGGTAAGGCTGTCATGTGGCCAGTGTCATGGTTGACATGATTTTATCAGACTGTGTGACCACTCTCAGATCATGATAAAAGTGAATTCTACGTAATATTGAACTTAAATGTGCCAAACCCAACATGGCCATCGGGATACTAGTGCTGACTTCATAGGTATGCTCTTGTCATTGTAAAAGATCATGTTATTTGGTACATGAAAATAGGTGGATACTAATTATACCTTGTGTACGTGTATGTTATTCTTAGGAGAAATCCTACAAAATTACAATTAAGCTTATGTAGCTTTTCAGGAGAAAAAAGACGTAATCTAAAGTTTTCGGTAGGACTACAAATTGACTAAAGATGTCAACTTTTACTGCATCTTCTTGTGAAGGGAAAAAAAAACCTCTCTACTTCACAGCTCTTTGTAAATTGGAGATGAGGAGCCCTTCCAGGTGATCTGAGATTGAGCACATGAAAGCTTATAGACGCAGGCTGGGAAGAAGGATCTGGAAAGCGTAGGGCTGCCCGAGAACCGCGGGAGGGGCGTCAGAGACCAGGAAGCGGGAGCTGTGCTCAAAGGGAAGGAACCTCACCGCCAGTTCTGGATCTTGGGCAGTTAGTTGTCACCCAGGCCATTCATCACGTAAAGGCTTGGCACCCAGAAACCCATACTTCCCTCTTACTCTGAAACTCTGCGAGCCTGTGTGGCAGCCTGGAGACAGACCCTGAGACCTTGGCCCACCCAGGCCGGTGATGGGCTCTGCCGTCCTCTGCTGCGCAGGCAGCCCTTCCTGCAGCAGCTGGCGCTGTGTGGGCCTGGGGAGGCTCTCAGAGCAGAACACCACTGCTGCCAGCTTCTCTGCCTGCCCTTAATAATGCCATAACTAAAAAAGACTTTACGGTATTTACAAAGAAACTGCTTTTTTTTTAACGCTTGTTTATTTTTGAGAGAGAGAGACAGACAGAGAGAGACCGAGAACAAGCTGGGAGGGGCAGAGAAAGGGAGACAGAGAATCCCAAGCAGGCTCTTCACTTACAGTGAAGCCCGACTCAAGGCTTGAACTCACCAGTTGTGAGATCGGGACCTGAGCCGAAACCAAGAGTCGGACATTTATCTGACTGAGCCAGCCAGGTGCCCCAAAAGAAGGTTTTTGGTTTTTTTCTGAGGACACATGGTAATTCTGAGGAGACTTACCAATGGTACGATTGTCCGCAGCGGTTTCTGGTCACGGGTGCAGCCAGCTGTGAGTTCTTCCCTCAGCTCGGGTCAGGCCGTAGCCACCAAGTGGGTGTCCCTGCCTCTGGCCGCTCTCGCTCCAGCCTCCTGCAATGCTGCCACAGAAATAGAAATTTGATCGGGTCATAGCCTTGCTTTTGAACCATCAGTGATTCCTTATGTACGTGGGGCACTGGCCTGAAACCTCTCTGCATCCTAATGGTCCGGTCTCCACTTTGCCTGCAGCCTGTCACACTCAGCAGTGTCCCCAAACCTGTGACACTCGGGCGCCCCCGAAACTTGGGTATATAGCTTCCCTTCACTGCTCCAGGCAGGGTCAGCTGTTTCCCCTGCACCTTCTGGAACTTTCTTTATGCCCACCTGTTGCAGTACAGTTGTGTGTTTCTCTCTCTTTCCCTTCAATGTTGATGTCAGCAACTCTTTACCTCATGCATTTGGACACCCAGGCCGAGAGGGAGAAGGTGATGTGTGTGAAAAAGCAGACTGTGCCTTCGCTCTTCCAGGTGCGGCAGACAGACAGACAGACGGCAGCAAATAGCTCCGAGCAGCCCCCTCCTAGGGAAGCACAGTGGCTGGGGGGTGAAGCTTGTCACTTGAGCCGCAGGGGGCGCCGTGGCCTCGGGTAGCCTGTGCCTCTGGAGACAGAGGAAGGTCTGCCACCGCGTGTCCCTAATCTGCTGTTTGTCTCTGTGACGTGCCAAGGAATATTCTGAAGCAGGATTTGTAAAGATTTAGCTTGACTTTAGGACGGAGAAGACTTCGTGAAGCAGTATATATGATTTACATCACCTTTTCAGCTTGGTTACAGTTTTCAGAAAGCAGACACTAAAGGAAACTAGAAGGAAAGCGTTTTGCAAGAGCTGTTCCCCAGAGACTGGGTCTCAGTTCACTGGCTTTAATAACATAAGTAGCATTTTTAAGAAAAAGAATCTTATAATAAAAACATTCCAGTTAGCAAACAGTAGAATCTGTCTTGTTACCAGGCTTGGGAATTTAAAAGTGAAAACACATTTTGTTTTCATTGACTTACACCGTAGGAACTTCTAGAATTGATGAAGTTGGTAGACCAAGGAGACCTCAAATCTGTTTTAAAGGTTAAGTGGTTCCCTTTACAACTGGAGAATTTTCAGTGCGTTCATTCCTGTTATATGGAAAACTATCACAGTGGCAGAGAAACTAGCGTGTGTACCCTGACTGGGTTCTTCTTAAATGTGTGCCCTAAAGTGACCTGAGGCCGAGGAAGGGTGCCCCGGCTGACCAGTTGGGGGAGTGCCTAGCGGTCCCAGGCAGCCGGGAGTTCAGATGCTGTGAAGCTGGCCACACAGGCATGGAGCGCTGCTCAATTCTTCCCTGCGATGTGCTTGGCCTTCGTCTTTAGCCCCGGCCATTTTTATAGTAGATTCATTTGTTACTGACCAGCTCCAGAATTTTCCTCAGTCTCCTTTCTCTGTGCTGCATCTAGGCCTTAACGTCTACAGGGGTACTTGGTAGGTTTTCTTGGGAAGGAATGATTTCTTCTGTCACTGTGTTGTGAAACTGGGTATTTAATGAAAATTCAGATTCGTTTAATGAAAATTCAGATTTGTTTAGAACAAATTTAATTAGTTTAAAATGAGATTAAAAGTGACAGAAGGGCCAAGTAAAGGAAGTCATGCTAATTAAATACGTGTTTGCATAAAGTTACTAAACAGTTTAACATATCAGAGGAATGAAAGGTTGCTAAAAGATTTATGCTGTCTAAATTAATTTTTCTCAAGCAAATCATACAATTCAAATTTTTCTTTTAGGGTTTATTTCTTTTTGAGAGAGAGACAGAGTGTGAACAGGGGAGGGGCAGAGAGAGAGGGAAACACGGAATCCTAAGCAGGCTCCAGGTTCTGAGCTGTCAGCACAGAGCCCGACACGTGGCTTGAACCCATGAACTGTGAGATCATGACCTGAGCTGAAGTTGGACACACAACCAACTGAGCCACCCAGGCACCCCTGCAATTTAAAATTACATAGAGGAAGATAGAAAAGGCGGGTTGTCTTTTTTATTTAGGCAAATACATGAAGCTTTTTGGTAGCTAGCTTTCAAAGGCTCTCCTGGTGTGCAGGTGGACTTCTCACTCCAGACGCATGGTGGTGGTGATCTCTCGCTTTACGTGGAGCACAGCTGTTGGCCTGTCTCTTTTGTGGCACATTTCTGGCTCACTGATGAGCACGTAATCGAAGGTGGCATCATTAACCACTAAGTTTAAAGGTGCTGGATCGGGAATTCTTCTTAAGAACCCCACCTGGGAGAGACTCAAGGGTTGTGCGTTGTGGCCGACCGAGCGCTTAGGTTCTGAGCGAGACCTCAGGACGCCTTGCTCTCTTAATCCCAGAGGATGCAATACAGAATACCCATTCCTGGGAAGAGAGAAGAGAGGAAATATCTTCTACCTTGAGGTGGGATGCAGAAAGTGGTTGATGGAGTTTCACCCCAGATCTGGAAGCATCCTGGGACCCTTCCTGCATTTTTTTTCCTCCTCTGAAAGCAAGTCATGAGATGTTTTACCCCTCCTTTCAGAAGGCGTGATGACTGATACTCCCTGGTTTCTTGTTTAAAATGTTTTTGAAGTAGTATTTAAGAGAATGCCGACGAGCCTAACATGAAGTTTCCTCCTCCTGCCTTTGCCTTCTACCTCTCAGTCTCTCTGCTCTCCTTTGGCATGTTGTTCACACCGCTTCTGACTATAACTCTCCCAGTATTGCCTGTCTTCCTGTCCTCCTGGATGCTTTTTCCCACTGTTGATTCATTTGTTCACTCATCCCCACGGGCCTCCCAGGCCAGCTGTCATGTGCCAGGACAAAGATGAAGGACCAGCAGAGAGACCTATGTCTGCTTTTGTGTGTATTGTGTGTGTGTCGGTCATTTGTTGGTTTTTCACGGTGG